GAGACAACAACAATAAAAAGGAGACAACAACAATAAGAGGGAGACAACAACAATAAGAAGGAGACAACAACAATAAGAAGGAGACAACAACAACAAGAGGGAGATACCAACAATAAGAAGGAGACAACAACAATAAGAAGGAGACAACAACAATAAGAAGAAGACAACAACAATTAGAAGAGGGAGACAACAACAATAAGAAATAAACAATAACAATAAGAGGGAGACAACAACAATAAAAAGGAGACAACAACACTAAGAAGGAGACAACAACAATAAGAGGGAGACAACAACAATCAGAAGGAGACAACAACAATAAGAGGGAGACAACAACAAAAAGAAGGAGACAACAACAACAAGAAGGAGACAATAACAATAAGAAGGAGACAACAACAATAAGAGGGAGACAACAACAATAAGAAGGAGACAACTACAATAAGAAGGAGACAACAACAATAAGAAGGTGACAACAACAATAAGAAGGAGACAACAACAATAAGAAGGAGACAATAACAATAAGAAGGAGACAAACACAGTTCGTTGGCCATGTAATGAGAAGAGAACATTGCATCTCCCCCGACACTTCGATGAGGTACAATGTGGAAGAGAAGGAGAAGAAGAAGAAGAAGAAGAAGAAGAAGAAGAAGAAGAAGAAGAAGAAGAAGAAGAAGAAGAAGAACAAGAAGAACAAGAAGAACAAGAATGAGAAGAGAGGGACTGAAAGATCAGTGAAAAGAGAGTTAGAAGCAGACCAAGAGAGATGATGCTGGATGAGCTAAAACGATGGCATGGGGCGATACAATCAAGGGATCGTGATCTGTGGAGACGTATGAGCGCCTACGTCAGTTGGCAGGGCACGTGATGATGATGATTTATAATATTTTGTAAATACAAATTAAACAATATATTTCCATTACCTTAAAATTTGAAAGATGTATATATTTTATAGTGTTCTAAGATTAGCTAGTGTAATTAAAAACGGCAGGACCTCAGGGTTTCATAAAGTTTAGGGCTTCATCAAGTCTACATCCAGCACTGTTTGATTAGTTTTCTCTGGTTGTTAAGGTGTGTGTTTGTGTGTGTGTGTGTGTGTGTGTATGTGCGCGCGTGCGTGCGTGCGTGCAGGCAGCTTGGTAGATGACGCATGGAGGAGAAACTTTAAAATCAAATGACATGACACACATATTTCGCCAGGTAGGTCAGACTTTAGCCATGTCGTTTTGTTTCTAACGTCGTAGAGTGTTATTTCCTCTCCCGGGTGAATCCTCCCGGGTGGTATATATATTCTCTTTACCTTGGCAGACGACCAAATTCAAGCGATACGATTCGAAACAGGTGCACTGCCTTGAAGCAGGGCAAGCCTTTAGATGTCATGCGTAGGTGTGTGAGTGTGTGTGTGTGTGTGGGGGGGGGGTGTGGGGGGGGGAGAGGGAGATTTTTGTCATTATCATCCCAATCGTCATCATCTTCATCCCCAGCATCATATTCGCCATCATCATTCTCATCCTTGCTCTCCTCTTCACCATTATCACTATCATCATCATCAACAAGTGTCTTGCGACTGGAATGTGCGATTATAATTTTCAATGTCTTGCCATTTTAACAGCTTGTATCAGTTCGTGCTGACATCTGTCCATGAACTGACAGTATGACGTTCTGACATCTGTCCATGAAGTGACAGTATGACGTTCTGACATCTGTCCATAAAGTGACAGTATGACGTTCTGACATCTGTCCATAAAGTGACAGTATGACATTCTGACATCTGACCACGAAGTGACAGTATGACGTTCTGACATCTGGATATAAAGTGACAGTATGACGTTCTGACAGTTTTCCATAAAGTGACAGTATGACGTTCTGACATCTGTCCATGTAGTGACAGTAAAAAGTTCTGATATCTGTCCATGAAGTGACAGTATGACGGTCTGACATCTGTCCATGAAGTGACAGTATGACGTTCTGACAACTGTCCATAAAGTGACAGTGTGACGTTCTGACACCTGTCCATAAAGTGACAGTATGACGTTCTGACATCTGTCCATGAAGTGACAGTACGACGTTCTGACATATGTCCATGAAGTGACAGTGTGACGTTCTGACATCTGTCCATGAAGTGACAGTATGAAGTTCTGACATCTGTCCATGAAGTGACAGTATGACGTTCTGACACCTGTCCATGAAGTGACAGTGTGACGTTCTGACACATGTCAATGAAGTGACAGTGTGACGTTCTGACACCTGTCCGTAAAGTGACAGTATGACGTTCTGACATCTGTCCATGAAGTGACAGTATGACGTTCTGACATCTGTCCATGAAGTGACAGTGTGACGTTCTGACATCTGTCCATGAAGTGACAGTATGACGTTCTGACACCTGTCCATGAAGTGACAGTGTGACGTTCTGACACATGTCAATGAAGTGACAGTACGACGTTCTGACATCTGTCCATTAGGTGACAGTATGACGTTCTGATATCTGTCCATGAAGTGACAGTATGACGTTCTGACATCTGTCCATGTAGTGACAGTGTGACGTTCTGACATCTGTCCATGAAGAGACAGTATGACGTTCTGACATCTGTCCATGAAGTGACAGTATGACGTTCTGACATCTGTCCATGAAGTGACAGTGTGACGTTCTGACATCTGTCCATGAAGTGACAGTATGACGTTCTGACATCTGTCCATGAAGTGACAGTATGACGTTCTGACATCTGTCCATGAAGTGACAGTATGACGTTCTGACATCTGTCCATGAAGTGACAGTATGACGTTCTGACATCTGTCCATGAAGTGACAGTATGACGTTCTGACATCTGTCCATGAAGAGACAGTATGGCGTTCTGACAACTGTCCATGAAGTGACAGTATGACCTTCTGACATCTGTCCATGAAGTAATAGTGTGACGTTCTGACATCTGTCCGTTAAGTGACAGTATGACGTTCTGACATCTGTCCATGAAGTGACAGTATTACGTTTTGACATCGTCCATGAAGTGACAGTATGACGTTCTGACATCTGTCCATGAAGAGACAGTATGGCGTTCTGACAACTGTCCATGAAGTGACAGTATGACCTTCTGACATCTGTCCATAAAGTAATAGTGTGACGTTCTGACATCTGTCCATCAAGTGACAGTATGACGTTCTGACATCTGTCCATGAAGTGACAGTATTACGTTTTGACATCGTACATGAAGTGACAGTATGGCGTTCTGACAACTGTCCATGAAGAGACAGTATGGCGTTCTGACAACTGTCCATGAAGTGACAGTATGACCTTCTGACATCTGTCCATGAAGTAATAGTGTGACGTTCTGACATCTGTCCGTTAAGTGACAGTATGACGTTCTGACATCTGTCCATGAAGTGACAGTATTACGTTTTGACATCGTCCATGAAGTGACAGTATGACGTTCTGACATCTGTCCATGAAGAGACAGTATGGCGTTCTGACAACTGTCCATGAAGTGACAGTATGACCTTCTGACATCTGTCCATGAAGTAATAGTGTGACGTTCTGACATCTGTCCATCAAGTGACAGTATGACGTTCTGACATCTGTCCATGAAGTGACAGTATTACGTTTTGACATCGTCCATGAAGTGACAGTGTGGCGCTCTGGCCCCACCCTGTGTAACCTGAAATCAGGATGAGTGCATTTTGGAACTGCCTCTCCCCCCTAAACAATCAAATTGACGCCCCCCCCCCCCCACCCCCTTTAAAAAAATCCAATTGTCCCTCTCCCTTTTCAACAAATTATCCGCCCCTCCCCCCCCCCCCGCTCACGCTGGGTCTGGGGTCCCGTTGGGAAACACTGGGCTAGACCCTCTCAAGCGGATCCGACGGTCGCGGGTTTAAACCCGTATGGACCCGGATACCTTTCAGACAGGTCTACCTAGCGGTAAATGACATCACTTACGGACCATCGTACCTTCGGATGCACCGGCGAGCTTCTGGCCGCTACACTACGGCAGTTACAAATAAGAATAATGTGCTGAATGATAAACAAATATACATATGTGTCCTGCTTCTGCTGCTACTGCTGCTGCTGCCGCTTCTCTTCCACCATTTACCTTAGCGTGGTGTTGGTGGGAGATGTAAGGATCGTTTGTGCGCTTAGCTGGTGTTAACTTCTGTTAGGTTGCTCCTGATGGTGGCGCTCCTTGTCTTTCGTGGTCTTCCCCTTGCTCTGTGTTCATTATATTTCTTCAGCGTGGCTCTCTCTGGCAACTGGTACCAGGACATTCTCGTCAGGTGACCATACTATCTCATTTATTATTCTGTAATGAATTGCAAGACTGGTTTCAGTCCTAATTTTATCTCTTCTTGTCACACCGACAGCTCTCCTAAGACATCTCATCTCTGTTGTTACGATCTTTCGCTTATTAGCTGAAGTAAAGGTCCATGTTTGGCATTGGCAGCACAATGTCGGCCAACAAAACCGTTCTAATGAGATTTGCTTTGGTTGACAGAGGTATCTTTCTATGCGTCAGAAGCCATGTTAATTGCTCCATAACGGATATGCTTTTGCACACGGCACGTTGATTTCTCTATACATAAGGAATAATTTAAAAAATTATAAATAGTCTATCAAAATATTAGTCTAACCAGTAAGCCACTGGAGTATAAAGGGGCCTTTACATTTTTTTTACTTGTTTACATTATTATTATTAACTTAAACAAGGCGTGGACCAAACACACACCCCCCCCCCCCCCCCAGCATCCGAAAAATGTGTACGGGGTATAAAACACAGGCGTGAGGGGGGGGGAGGGGGGGGGGCTTCCCTCCCGATGACCTAGCACAGAAGTTTGCTTTGCTGTGTGTAAGTGACTGTAGTCCAAAAAAACGTACAAAGTGATACAATTAAATTGAGCTGAAGTTTAACTATGAGGCAATCATCAACAGCTTTCAAGTCGGTTCAACTAGTAAGTTACAAACAAACAAACAAGCATAGGCAAACTTTAAGAAATAAAATTTTAAAAAAATGAACAACCTACTCGACTTTTTGGGTTTTTTCTCCCTTCTGTCTCTTCTAATAACACACTGTCCCTCGTTTCTTTCCGTTTTACGACATCTCCTAGCGTCCACAATTGCCATGGTTACAGAGAGTAGAAAGATGGCAGCTATTTGTGTGTACCGTTTCACGTGCATGTCGTTCTGACCTGGGGAGAAAAAAAAACGTTGCAGGGTGTATCAGTTACATTAAACATGAAACTACAGGGGGCCGACATTTACTTCAAGAGTGAAATTACACGAAGCATCATTTACGTTAATATGAAATGCTATGACCCGTCGTTCTTATGTAAACCATGAAATTACACATATCATAATTTACGTTACCTGTGATATTTTATAGATCATTATTTATGTTCTGGCTAGGCACTCGCCTGTGGATCGTAAGGTCGTGGGGTCGGGTCGTGAAGAAGCCGGGCTTTCTTCAAAAGTGACCTTGACACACCCAGGTTGACCCAGCCTTGAGTGAGTACCAGGTGCAGTCCTGGAAGTAAAGGCGACCGGCCTGATGATGCACATATCACCCACCAAGTGCCGATTGGACTATAAAATGACCCGGCCTTATATGCCCAGATATGCATGAAGGCGTGGAAAAGGGTCTCTTACTTTTTTCTTTTTCTTTTATGTTTATAGCAAAAGTACAAGAAACCGCTTACGTTTTCATCGAAATTACAACGACCACACTCGCAAGACCGGTCGTTAACCAGATGACAACGGTAAGAAAAGACCACAAATATAACCAGAGATTATTGGCAGCTTCGACTAGCTAGCACCAGGTTGAACGTGGTCCAGGTTTTACTTTTTAATTTTTATTTTAAAGAATAGGGGTAAGAAAAAACGTTGACACAAAACAGTTCAAAACTGGGAAATCAAGTTTTTCTCTGGAACCCACACAGTAAAAGAAACAAAGGCACACTGCAGATCACATGGCAAAGACTGACGTAGATAGACAAAAATAACAATGGAGAGGGGAAGTTGGTGGACGGGAGAGGGGGGGGGGGGTTGGAGAGACATAATAGAGTGGGAGACTGAGGAACACCTGGACAAGATTGGCGAAGATGGACGGAAACAACAAGAGGGAAGACATAATAGAGTGCGAGACTGAGGAACACCTGGACAAGATTGGCGAAGATGGACGAAAACAACAAGAGGGAAGACATAATAGAGTGCGAGACCGAGGAACACCTGGACAAGATTGGCGAAGATGGACGAAAACAACAAGAGGGAAGACATAATAGAGTGCGAGACCGAGGAACACCTGGACAAGATTGGCGAAGATGGACGAAAACAACAAGAGGGAAGACATAATAGAGTGCGAGACTGAGGAACACCTGGACAAGATTGACGGAGATGGACGGAAACAACAAGAGGGAAGACATAATAGAGTGCGAGACTGAGGAACACCTGGACAAGATTGACGGAGATAGACGAAAATAACAAGGGGAGAAAACATAAAAGAGCGGGAAACCGAGGAACACCTGCACAAGATTCAGAGACAGATAAAACAGGAGAAAGATATAACATCGCGGCAGAAGAGCAGAATCTGGTCAGGTTTGGTATACGACGTCCATATTTAGACCCGATCAGGCCCTAAGCCATATAACGCCATGAGACCCCAACTGTCTGAAATTACATCAACAATGTAAAAATAATTTTTTTCATGTATGCACTTTTTAAATAAATAAAAGGACCCTTTCCATGCCTTTACACGTATCCGGGAAGTATGGTTAGACCTACGTCAATATAAATTTGTGGGAAGAGAAATGCAAAAGAAGGAGTCTGCAAAATCACACGAATTAAATAATATTTAAATGGCTCTAAAAAAATATTACATTTGTGAGCAAAAATATGAATTTGTTGAGGCCACTACAGATTGTGAAGCCCTAAGATGTAGCCTAATGATCTTATGCCTAAGTCAAAGTTCAGCAATGGTGTACGGTTACTGAATGAAAGAAGGAGGTGGAGAAGGAGTGAAAGAAGAGAGAGAGGATAAGGAGAAGAGGAAGCAGAAGAAGAAGAAGAAGAAGAAGAAGAAGAAGAAGAAGAAGAAGAAGAAGAAGAAGAAGAAGAAGAAGAAGAAGAAGAAGAAGAAGAAGAAGAAGAAGAAAAAGAAGAAGAAGAAGAAGAAAAAGAAGAAGAAGGAGGAGGAGGCGGAGGAGGAGAAGGTAAAAAAGAATAATAATAATAATAATAATAATAATAATAATAATAATAATAATAAGAAGAAGAAGAAGAAGAAGAAGAAGAAGAAGAAGAAGAAGAAGAAGAAGAAGAAGAAGAAGAGAAGAAGAAGAAGAAGAAGAAGAAGAAGAAGAAAAAAAAAAAAAAAAAAGAAGAAGAAGAAGAAGAAGAAGAAGAAGAAGAAGAAGAAGAAGAAGAAGAAGAAGAAGAAGAAGAAGAAGAAGAAGAAGAAGAAGAAGAAGAACAAGAGAGGAGGAGGAGGCAGAGGAGGTGTAGAAGAAGAAAAGGAAAAAGAAGAAGGAGGATGAGGTGGAGGAGGAGTATAAAAAGAAAAGGAGGAGGAGGAGGAGGAGGAAGAAGAAGAAGAAGAAGAAGAAGAAGAAGAAGAAGAAGAAGAAGAAGAAGAAGAAGAAGAAGAAGAAGAAGAAGAAGAAGAAGAAGAAGAAGAAGAAGAAGAAGAGGAGGAGGAGGAAATGAGATTATAATGGGGCTAAGCACCCAACTTCCTGAGATCGACTAGAATAAAATCCACTATGACAATGCTATAGAAATCACATACTTGCTGGCATCAGTATTATTTCCTTGCTGCCTGAATCTTCCTAGAAATAAACACAACTGTATTTCTCAGCTTCCCCGAGAAGCCATTAAAATCTAGTTTATCTGCGCATGAAGAAAACGGGGAAAGGAAAAACTACCGGCTGTAGCCAAGACGTATATTTCCTCACATGTTTTTCCCTCTCTCTCCTTCTTCAACATATCCACGTTTCACGGCCTCATGCCTGATAACTATAATCTGTTCTTCAGCCAATGGGGGCAGACATTACATTCATTGAGATCATTATCGGCCAATCAAAACAGCATTTAGCCATATTGGGTTCAGACGGGAGTCTGGCAGACGGTTGTTGGTTTTTTGAGATAAAAGTGGGAAAATAGTTATATTTCATTCATTGAAGGCAGGAATAAGACCTGCTAGCTGCTCTACTAGGATGGTAGATGAATAAATAATCTTCTCGTGTGGGTTCCATAGAGAAAACAAGAATAGACCCACTGCCTACCCAAAAGTATGTCGAAAGTGTCGACTAATTGGGAACTTCCTTCGAAGGCGGAATACATCTGCTTGATGTCAGAGCTGTGAAACGTGTATGCACGCAACACTCTGCTTCTGGAACAGGACTAGAGTTCAGAGGTGGAATAACAACCAGAACTTTCCGCCGGATTTACTATCTGTGAAGGAAAGAAGAAGAAGAAGAAGAAAGAAGAAGAAGAAGAAGAAGAAGAAGAAGAAGAAGAAGAAGAAGAAGAAGAAGAAGAAGAAGAAGAAGAAGAAAGAGGAGGAGGAAAAGAAGAAGAAGAAAAAGAAGGTGGAGGAGGAGGTGGAGAAGAAGAAGAAGGAAGAAAAAGAAGAAAAAGAAGAAGAAGAAGGAGGAAGAGGAGAAAAAGAAGAAGAAGGAGGAGGAGGAGAAAAGAAGAAGAAGAAGAAGAAGAAGAAGAAGAAGAAGAAAAAGAAAAAAGAAGAAGAAGAAGAAGAAGAAGAAGAAGAAGAAGAAGAAGAAGAAGAAGAAGAAGAAGAAGAAGAAGAAGAAGAAGAAGAAGAAGAAGAAGAAGAAGAAGAAGAAAAAGAAGAAAAAGAAGAAGAAGAAAAAGAAAAAGAAGACATAATCAGCAGCACCAGTCTGTGACCGTCTCCACACTGAAGGTTGTCTGCTATATATCTTCAACATTCTCTGTAATTTGGCCTGGATGGAAAACACCTGTTCCGTATTCAAATCATTTGTGGCAAAAATCAGGTGCCACGAACCAGTTGATGTTGGTCTCTTAAGCTTTCATCAAAGGGAACAAGTGTCGTTGGTCCTCAAGCAGGCTAACCGCCACAACCCCTCATCAAGTATCGAAGTGCACTTTCTCCTCGCATTACGACCTATGCGACTGACAAATAACCACACCTACGACAGTAAAAAGTAGGTAAATAACGATAGTAAGTAAAGAAACTACATTGCCAGGGGCAGTTTCCGGAACTGTTGCCCAGTACACAGAAGTGTTTATGTATACATGCAAGGTTTGACTTTTTGAGTTTTATGTATGATTTTCATAACCTGTTGGATGAAAACATTGTTAAACAATATAAATTCGACTTTCGACCTGTTCGACTTACGACACATTAGTCGGAATGAAACTTGGTCGTGAGTCGAGGAGGAGACACTATATTTGTGTAATCTATTTATTATGATTTCAAATAGTTTATAATTACGCCTTTTTCCACATATTGCTTTTATTATTGCACATTTAAACGAGAATATGCCTCTTGTGGTACGCAATTTGTAAAGAGACCGAGCAGGTCTTTTTCTCCAGTGCACCCCTCCCCTGCCTCCCCCCCCCCCCCCGATGTATCGGCGCCCTTGGCAACGAAGTAAATGCTGTCTGGTAAGTGATTTGAATAATTTATCACAGTAAGACGAAATAGAACCTGAAAATTATTGCTATACCAAGGCAGCGGATGATCTCCAGATGCGTTTATCGGTCGCAGGACATCTTGCTTGTAATCGAGAAGTTTTCCGGAGAGTTGTTATGGGAGCAAGGTGCTGCAAAGGGCATGTTACTGACTGACTGACTGATCGACTGACTGACTGACTGACTGACACGATGGCGGACCAGAAACTTAGCCTTGGTTGGCAGTTGGTCTAGGATGAAAGCTCCAACAGGCAGAAAACTGCTTTTCTGATCGGGCAGTTTCTGCGGAATTCCTTTGTTCCAAACATATTGGTGTTAGTTGCCTTTGGGGTAAGCAATATATACTCCACCTGCCAGATTTTGGTGCTAGACACAAGATGGCACAGACAATGGCGTACCTGGGCATAGTCTCTGGCATATCCCCGGATGTTTATTTTCCTGGCCTTTCGTCTTGACATCGACCTGGCATCCACGAGATACGAAAATAATTGATATTGTGTATTTGTGTA